CAGGAGATTGAAGATTTTAATGAGAAAGACAATTTCAAAAGGTGTAGGAGAATGTATAGATGCATATCTTTATGAACTTGAGAGTAGAAAAGGATTATTGAAGCAAACACAAAATACATGAACTATCAAGAAAAAGAATAAAAACCCTGACATTAAATCTCTGTTTAAAACTCCCCTTGGATAACTTAAAACAGTAAAAACACAACCTATAAACTGCCAGAAGCTATTTGGAACAAAACTAACACAGCATAAGGACTCATAACATAGAAGAACTTTTATCAATCAATAAGGCAAGTAATTTTTTAAAAAGTGTGGGCAAAAGCCATGAACAAGCATTTTGCAGAAGAGCAAAGCAGGACTGCTAACAAATTTTAAATTACCTGTTGCCATTAACAATCTGGGAAATATACATTCACATGACAAAGATTCTATTTAAATCCATTAATTAGAAAAAAACTTTAGTTTTTCTCTTGGAATACCAAGAGTTCACTAGGATATGAAGTAAAATTATTAAGGGTACAAATTTCTGGGTTTAAATTCTGGTTCTTCGATTTACTAGATGAAAGCCTTGGTCAAGCAATTTCACCTCCACATGCCTCTCCTCTCCTAAATATAAAATGAAGGATAATACTAGTGTACATTTTATCAGGTTGTTGTGAAAATAAAATAAACTAGTAAGTATGAAGTGTTTAGAAAAATCAGAGCCTGACATAGAAAGTACAGAATAAGGTTAGCTCATTATTCGTGCCATTAAAACCATCACCATTACTACTGATGGGCATTTACAATGGTACCTCCACCTGGGGAAAATCATTTGGCACTGAAATGTAAGACTAAGACATTCTACTCCCATATTGCCTGGAGAAACTCTATTTCATGAGGAAACATATTAGAATACTGTTTCATTGGTGCAGCGTTTGTGAAAAGTAACAAAAATAACACAAAAGGCTATATAGAGGACAATAAATGGTTTATGGCACATTGATATGCTGTAATAACATTGCTATAGCTTAGATACTGAATGTTCCCCCAAAATCCATGTGTCAAAGGCTTGTCCCCAGGTTGGTGCTACTGGGAGGTGACAGACCTAGTGCAAGGTTCTTAGGTCACTGGGGCTGCCTTTGAAAGGTGTATGAAACACTGTCTTTCTTCCTCCTCTTCTTTTGCTTCCTGGTGGGAGGTAAGTAGTTCACTCCACCACACACTCCTTTCCATGACCATTACATACTCCCACCAGTGGCCCAAAGCAAAGGGTCTGTAGGTCTGCCAGACCATGGACTAGAACATCCAAAACTGTGAGCCAAAATAAACCTTTTCTCTTGATAATTATCTCCAGTATTTTGTTATAGTGACAGAAAACTAACACAAATATATAGCATGGAAATAAATAAATTGGAACTAAATGCATCAACATGGACCAGTCTCACTAGAGTGGGGAAAGCAACTCAAGGAAGAATACAGTGATATGGGTCTGATTACATAAAGTAGAAAACTGAATAACTGTTCACAGTTTTACTGTGTATGTAAATGTCCCCAATCATAATAGTAGTCACATTAGGGCAATGAGGACTAAGCATTTGATCAAAGAGAAACTGGGAATGTAGTTCAGTGGTAGAGCATTTGCCTAGTATACACAAGGTTCTGAGTTTGATCCCTAGCACTGCAAAATAAACAAACAGGCCAGGGATTTAGCTCAGTGGTTTCGCTGCCTGCTGCGCAAGCGCAAGGACATGAGTTCGATCCCCAGTACCAAAAAAAATAAATAAATAAGATAAAATAAAATAAACAAACAAAAGAGGAACAATACATTACCAATAATATGGGTAATATTTGTTTCTTATGTAGATGGTAACAGATTTTTATACTGGCATTTCTTAGCTTTTATATAGATACAATATATATTATTTTGTGCATGTAAAATTTTTAATGAAAAGTTTCTATGTATGCACAAAAATGCAGGAAAAAAGAGTAACAGTTATTTTTTAAAATCAGTCGAAAAACACCTTAGGTAATATCCATCCCATAGGTCTCAGAATTTACCATAAACAGTGGAGAGAGAAACATAAACACATAATAGCAGTGCATTTTCCTAGCTATTTACTTGGGAACGTTGAGCTAAAACTCAATGCAGCCCAGGAAGACAGGAGTTAGGAACAAGCCTTTGAGATGTGACCATTCTCAGGCACAGGCACAAAAGAAATCAACAAGACTGTACAGCCACGAGTTCTTTCCTCCTGTTGTATTTCCAAATCTCTTTGTCATCCTGACTGCTCTAAGAATAATTTCCTACCTCTATTTCTCTAATACCTGTTAACTTCTCCCTTTGCCTCTAATCTCAACCTCATTCTTCTTCAATACACTCTTCACAATGCACCCCAAACCAACCAGTTCCCTGTAAACTACCATCACTTCCTCACTGAACACTCTTCCACGGATCCCCACTGGCGTAACAACAGAGTCTCCACTATATAATTAGCAAGGCTTTGTATGATCTGGCTTCTACCTGCCTCACCAGCTCATTCCTCTCCATGTCATTCCCTGATTGCACAGGTTTAAGGCAAGGGTTCTCAATTGTGGCCCTTGAGACCAGCAACCTAGGAACCTGTTATAAATCAGGCCAAGCCCACACCTTCTAAATCCAAATAAACTCTATGTGTGGGGTTCAACAATCTTAATTTTAGCGACTCTTCTACTTGACTCTGCAGCACATCAAGTTTGAGGATCACTTCACTGCTTTAAAACCGGAATGAGAGGCAAATAATTATTTGAAGAAGTCTGATAGGGATAGTCAGAAAGCATTAGAGTACAGAAGTAAAACTACACGTTTGGGCCAGGGTATAGCTCAGTGGTAGAGCACTTATCCAGCATTTGCTAGGTCTGAGTTTGATCCCTAGCACTGCAAAAAAAAAAACAAAAAACACCAAAATGCAAGCCCACTCTCTGAGGTCACACTGGCAAGGCTCAATTTGCTCAGCTTCTGCCTAGCTGTGTGATCACAGGACAGTTACTTAGCTTGTATTGGCACAGCGTAGTGCCTAATAGCAGGGATCCTACAGCAAGATTGCTTGGATTTATATTCTGGCTCTACCTCTTATCAGCTGTGTAACCCTGAACAAGTAGTCACTGACATTCTCTGATTCTTAGTGGCCTCATTTATAACAGTATAATAATATCTGTTTCACACAGCTGTGAACATTAAAAGAGTTAATACATGTATTATGCTTCAAACTGTAGCTGATGCACAGTAAGCCGCTATGTGTTATTTATGACTGCTGTAACTGACATTCATTGCACAAGGCCCACATTATATTTTGGAGAGTCAGCACTGAATGTTAATGCCCACAGAAAGTAGAAAAATACATTTGTTCTGATATGGAAAAACTTTCCTCATTTTTTTTAGGTAAATGATTTTTTTCCCACTACATCATTTACCCACATGCACGAGTTTATTTCCTTCCAGTTAGAGACCTTGATCCATCCAGTGACCTTTTCCTAGGAGTTAAGGAGTCTGCCTCCAAGCGGTTATTTATTTCAGGTACATTAATGTTCTTTGTAACAAAGAATTTATCAGACTGAAAACGAGTTACTGAATATTATCCCTGTAGCAGAGAAAATACTGCTGCTGATTATTCTAAATACATATCCAGCTAAAAATTCTCCATGTTAAAATCCCCTCGAGAAAACTATCTCCAAAGTCATGGATAAAGATGCTAAAAGTATCATGAAACCCAAATTTGGACAGGAGGCCTTTGTATCCTTGCCTCTTCACACTAAGTATCACAACACAAGACTGAACTTTGGAATGGGGAATATTCTACTGAACACAAACAAGTGTTAACAAAAGTGTACTTTTTGAAGACACAATAATAAGTGGATGTAAGTGGTGTGAAATTATCTAGTAATAGTTCTTTTAAGGGTCTCAAAGAGTTCTATCTCCTAATTTATAGTTATATAGTTGGAAAGTTAGAAAATGAAATAAAACAGGGATTTAGACTATGGAAGAAAGTACAAGAAAAAAAAATACTATACAGGGACAAGTCACAAATCCCAAGTCAAAATACCAGGCTGAGAACCGAGAGTTCAAAGTTCTTAGAACTATAAATAGAGACAATGTACTAATTGAACTTGGCTTGGAAAGTGTTTGGTCATCCAATACTTACTATGGATTCTGAATTCCCTTCCCAACAGCATCTACTGGAGGTCCATTTGAGTCAGGTACAGATTAGTCTTTATTTGTGATTCTCTTAATTAGCTAAGTTTTAAAAAATAGCTTTCTGTGAAAAATCAACTTAAAGAATAAGCATGTAATAATATAAGGGATTTATGGCTTTTTTATTTACATGTGACAGCCACATTTTCCATGTTTTTTTTTCTTCTGTTTTTGTATTTGTTTTGCTGTTGTTGTTTTACCCTTCTCCCATGTCCCAAACTCTAAACCTCAGTGTGAGGTGAAATGAAGGAATTTTTGTAAAGTCTCTTTTCATTGGTTTCTACTTAAAAACAGAGGTCATCAGTTACAAAGAATATCCAAACGTCTCTGGGTCTTAAGGCCTCTCATCAATGTAAGACATTTTAAACTAGGAGAAAAATAAAGGTTAAAAATTATTTGTTTTTAAAAAGTTATGTGTCGTGGAAAGGCAACCCATCTAGCTCATGTTTCTATTAATCTAATACTACACAACTTCAACTGTATAGCTATGGAAGATAACTGCATGTAAGTCACATTTTACTACTAAAAAGCTGATCTAAAATTGTTTTAAAATAGTTGCAGAACTCATTATTTGTAACAAAATATAGTACAATAACTTTCTGAGATTGCCTGAAAAAAAGAAAATATTAAGTACTCACACTGAGATGTAACTTAAGATCCTCTATAATAAGAAAAAGTGTTTTCAACTATAAAAAGTAGAAGGTGAATGTCTGTAAGTACTGATGATACAGGTATTGATAAGGGTTTTGATCTTGAGGAAGCCTTCTAAGTAAATCATCAGAATCTTTACCTGCACAGTCCTCTGAGTGCCATCAATGTTGACAGACAGTAAGGGCAAAGCCAGGTTCCACGTACTGGTCACATTTAGTTTTGACCCATCAACGTCCACCTGTTGTGACACCAAATAAGACTGTTACCATGAAGAAAGACAGAAAACTCATCTCAAGTTCATTGCTGCATACAAAGCAGCAGCCACTTTAAACAGATGGCTCCCAAACAACCTGTCATGTTTACTGCTCCCGCCATGAAAGACAGGGTCCAACAACAGTCTCCCCAGCCATCTCTGGGGAGAGGTGAGGGACCTGTGAACAGCTGCCTCCAGGTACTGAGGCTTCAAGCATTTTCTGTAAGTAACAAACAGCCTTCTAACTCAGAACCTATCTGGACATGCTACATTTACTGCAATTAGACAAGTAATGCATATAAATTCCAGTGACATTTTGCAACCCACGTAACAAGCCTTGCATATAATATCCTCTCCAAGGACCAAGGAAGAACTTTTTCTGTGTTAATTTTAATGAAGGACTATGCATTGTTATCTTAATTAAACAGAAGCTTTAATTAGACAAAATTCTTTGGCATTGAATACCCAAAGACCATTCGAACTCTGCAAAGTTCCATCATACTTTGTCAATCATAAATGACTAATTCCATCAAGTCACCATTCAAGATGCAAAAGCAAAAAACCCTATAGTCTTTCAAAGCAGAGATACTCTTAAAAAATTAATTTCCAAATAAATAATATGAAAGTAACTGAAAAGAAAAAAATCAAAGTTAATTTAAAATAACAAGTTCTAAAAGTTTTTCATTTTCATTCACTGATGATTATACTTTCTTTAGTATGAGAGGCAAGAAAACATGAAGTCTATAGTAGACAGCCTAATAAAGGGATACTAACATTAGCTCAAGTTTCAAAATAAACTTATAGCAGAACCAAAATGTATCCCTAACAAGTTCCCCACTACTAATTTTTTTAAAAGATACTCTTTAAAGTTAGGCATGTTTTCTTTTCCTCCATCCCTACTAAAGGTAGAGGACCTAGGAGAAAGAATATACATTGTGATAAAAAAACAACAACTATATTTCCCAGTATGATTGATAAGTGATGAGTACAAATTAGTAATATCACCATATAACTGAAGCAAGGACACTATCATAGCTCCAAATCATAAACTGTAAGGTGTGGGAAGGGAATGTGCTGAAAGCCATCACATGCCTTCTCAGGGTTCCAGCACTAAGTGGATTTCTCCAAGATACATAATTCTGACCAATAGATGCAATGATTCTATTGATACTATTATGAGTAGAATCTAATTGTGAGGATAAGTCACAGGGGCAGTAGAAACTATCTCTTTGGACCAACCAGAGTTTAATACCATGAAAAGGTGGGGGCAGACTGAAGGAAAGAATTGTTACTGTGCCATATATACTGCTCACACCCAATCCTCCAGGCAAGTGTGACCAAAAATGTAGCTGCAGAGTGGAGATGGCACTTCATTATTACAAACTTTGCTTAAAGAACTACCACCTTAACTCTTCAATACCAACAACCCATGGAAAATAAGCCCTGCAGCAAAAGAAGCAAACAGCAGATTTGGTGAGAGATAACGATAAGGAACCCAAGGAAAAGCTACAGCTAGCCCATGCTTAGTGCAGCCACCTCGAGTACAACACAAATGACAACCAGAAAATAACTACTACTGCATCTTCACGTATAATTTTGAAAGGAACATTGTAAAGAGAAAAAAAGTAAATTAAGAGCATTATAACACAAGAAGAACTCAAAGAAACACAGGAAGAGTTCAGATAAATAATTCTCCACAGTCTCAAAGGCAACCAAGCATAGGAAACATGACCCCCTCTTAAAAAAAAAAAAGCTCAAAGAAGAAAAACAAGGTTCAAAGAAGAGATTATGCAACAACAGAAGGAAATGAAAAGCAACCTGTTAAAACTCAGGAAAAAATGAAGAAAAAAATAACATTATAGAGATAAAAGCCACATTAAGAAACAACTAAAAGGGCCAGGGATTTAGCTCAGGGGTTCCGCTGCCTGCCTCGTAAGATCAAGGACCGGAGTTCAATCCCCGGTGCCAAAAAAAAATAAAAAAAGAAGAAGAAACAACTAAAAAATAGAATGTGACTAAAAAGAAATATCAGGACATTAAGAAGTCACATAAAACAAAATCAGGCCAATAATATAAGAGCAAGTTACAGTGAAGACAACAGAAATGAAAGAAGGAGAAAAGGGAAAGAAAGAATATACAAATGTTTTTGTTGAAAAAGTATATAAAGCAAAAAGAATAAACAAAGTCAGTTATGATCAGATAAAACCTTTCAAAATAAATAATACCTTGAATTTGTAGGCTGGTATTGTTTATGAAATTTTAAAACTAAAGAGACAATTATGTGAATGTGTAGGCAGAAATTTAAAAATCATGTACTGGGGGTGGGGATTTAGCTCAGTGGCACCATGCCTGCCTCATAAGTGCAAGGTCCTGAGTTTGATCCCTGGTACCAAAAAAAAAAATCATGTACAAGAAAGGAAAAAACTCAAGTTACTCTCATTTTCCAAGAGCAAAATGGATACAGAAGACCAGATAGTACTATGGTCCAAATACTGATAAAAGAAAATAATGTTTCCTAATTTTATACCCAGCCAAGGCTTCCTTAAAATATATCAAATAAATATATATTCTGCAGCATATAAGAACTTAGGGGGCCCCTTCTTTAAAAATAAAGCATTGATACAAATGATCTCCAAGAAAACGCAGAGTTGGGTATACAATATGCTATCATTTGTTAAGGGAAAAAAAACAACTATGATTTTTAAAAATGCATCAAATAGCTCTAGACAATTGTGTAAGTGGAGGAGAGTGGCTGAGAAACAGGGGTTTAGAAGGAAGGGCTGCTTTTTACCACTGGTACTTTTAAAAGTTTTGTCTTGTTTAAGTGTACTATATATATTTTAAGGTTTCTTTAAAGTCAGAAATATAAGTGTGCAAATTTCCTCTGTCATTATAATATGTAAACAATAGCTATTCCAGATCTTTCACTAGTGGTCACGTAATACCTGGTAGCTGTTTCCTTAAAATTGCATTTTGGCTCACAGATTGACACTCATTTCAATTTTTCTGACTGTAAATTCACTGATTTCATCCTGTACACCTAATTTTATAATGTGTTTCAGACAATTTCTCTTCTTCATCTGAAAAGGAGGTACCTGACAACAAAACTCTCTGCTAGGTCTAACACTGTGTGGTTTTGTGGTTGTAAAGCTCTTTTATTTCAGGTATACTTCAACAGTGAATTCCTGATATGGTGATTACCAGTATTATAAAGAAATTTTTGTTCTGTTCAAGAACCTCCATGATAGAAGTTTTTACAATCTATTTTTAATAGACAATAAAAGCTAACAAATTAAGTCAAATTCAGTGGAGATAAAAAGAAAAACACACCAACAGCAAAGTGCCAAATGACACAATACTCTGGGGCTCAAAGTCTCACACTTTTCAAGGCAGATACTATTATTAAAGTGTCTTAACACACTGAAAATACTAGAATGTTTAAAATTATATAAAACTCTTGTATTTTAAAGACAATCCAAAGATACAACACCTCTATTTAGAACATTAACCTAAAGATGTTATGTTCTTTGTTTAAATAGACCTAGAATTCAAGTCCAAGAAATTTACATTAATTATAATATTAATATTGAGCCATGCTCTTATTATGACTACCTCTCTTTATTTACCAAAATTGAAGCCATGGACATAACCTCTTATTTTCTTGCATCATCAGTCACATCCTTTCCTTTACCCCTACACACACATGTCCTCCTTCCTAGTCTATCCCTTTGAATCAATTTTCCCCACCTGCAGTCTACACTGGCTGCATGCCCTCTGCTTTCAAGTCTGGACTGAACTCCCTAACTACACACACACATCTCCTCTTTCCTCCAACAGTTTTAGAACAAGTGCTCTTTACTTGCATACAAATCTTTCCCACAACCTTCTACAGTGTGGCTACTAAGTGTATTCTGATATGTCATCATCTTCTTCAGGATGGGGGGCGGGGTTGCCGGGGAATTGAACCCAGGGCCACTGGACCACATTCCCAGCTCTTCTAAAACTATTTTTATTTTGAGATAGGATCTTATTACATTGCCTAGACTGGGCTCAAATTTGCAATCCTTCTGCCTCAGCCTCCCAAAGTGCTAGGATTACATGTGCACACCACCATGCCCAGTTTCTTCAGCAATCTTATACTTTCTTTTTAATTCTCAGTATTCTTTAGTTCTCAGAGGAAAGGGAAGTCTCTCTGAGAAGGTGACCTTTACCTAAGATTAAAAAGAGGGGTAAGAAATTGGTTCAGACTGCTAGCGATAGAGAGTGGGTAGGACTGAAGAACATTCCAGAAGAAATAACATATTAGACAAATCCAAAGCAAAACAAAACAAAAACTGTGAAGCAAGAAAAGGCTGAGCTGCTTTGAAACCAGTGTGCCTGGAAGACAGAAAACAAAGGGGATAATGGCACCTGGAGAGTGCAGAGAGCAATGGGAACAAAGAAGGTGCCAGTTGAAGAGTGACACCATCCACCGTATTTTTTAAAGATCAATCTGACTACAGGTTGGAGAATGAATTAGATGAAACAGTGTGGAGGAGGAGGACATTCAGAAGTACTATCAGTTGGATAAGGAAAGTGAGAATCCTAACTACAGCAGTAAGGATGGGAGTCACTGAGGAAAACGGAGAGGAGTAAGCTTGTCAGAGAAACTGCCAGCTGCCACCTGGGCTAGATGCACAGCTGTTGCTGTGGCACATAGCTGATGTGGCTCTGCCCTTGGTATATGATGGGATCCACAGTCCTCAGCTACTTGGAATTGGATGAGAGACTGAAAGGCTGAGTTCACCTAAAATGGGGACAGACTGAAGAAGTCAAAGACATCTGTAAGAGAATGTAAGTACAGGCGAAGGAATTTAGGCTGGTAAGCAGGTAAACAGGAAAGGTGTCTGTGGATGGAAAGAATACGCCGGGACTAAGAGTTGCATGAAGGCAGAGAGGAAGGGAATCTGGAGGTCACCAAGAGGAAGGTGAAGTGATGAGATAGA